AGTGTTTTCTAGTCCTAGTCATTCCCCATTTCCTTCCTCCTCCAGCTCCTCAGATGATTTCATTGGCTCCCAGTCTCCCCATCCTCCTCATTATCTCTCTCGCCTTGTCCTAGTCTCCTCTTCCACCCAGCTCCCAGTCCCAGACAACTGTGAGGGACCATGGGCCTCAAACCTGGGTCCACGGGTCCTTGGCCTGTGGCCGCCACCCAGCAGTTCACCTGAACCAGTGGAGAAGGGGCTAACAAGGTCTAGTTCACAAAGGGCTCCATTCACAAGGCTCCTGATTGGGGGAGACATCCAGCCCCACTGATTGGCTGGGGCACACTACTTAAACCAGAAAGAGGCAGAGGAAGTTGTGTGAGCAAGTAGGTCAATTGCTGGCTACCATGGATCCTGCCTACATGCCTGAACCCTGCCTCCCAGCCTGCTCCTGTCCTCCTTATCCTAGCCCCCCCATGTGTTTCCAGTTTCTGCTTTCATGTCCTGCTCCAGCTCCCGTCTCCTATCCATGACGCTGACTCTGGCTTCGACCCCTGGCTTGGCTTCTGACTCTGACCTTTGGCTTGGCACCTGATTCTGATACCAGATACCTGACTCTAAGCATTAGTCTGACTGCCATGCCCTGGCCCTACAACTGCTGCTCAACCAATCCTATACTCCCCTTTCTCCTAGCTCTTAGTTTCCTTGCCCAGTCAGTCCCAGCCTCCCCTTTCTTTTCCTGTGTTCCCAGTTCCTATTTCCTTTTCCAACCAGTTCCAGCCTCGCTTTCCCCCCAGCTCCCAGTCTTCTTGCTGTTGTATTAATTTTGATGGAATCAATGGGCAAACGGTATTAACACAATTCAGGCCTGGTCCAGCGTTAAACGGTGTTAAACAAGGTCCGGGGTATGGTATGCAGAGACCTCAGCCTGGATAGTACCATGGAAAACATACCAGTAAACATCCTTTTATGAAAGATAAAGAAAAGCAGGAGAAACAGTTAAAACATTTGAAATGTAAAGTATTAAATATTAGCTGGAGAGAGTCTTAGGAGGGAAACCCCTTTGACAGCCTCTTAGCGGGTATTCGGATGGTAATAACTGTCCTTTTGGGGAACAGAGAAGTTAGCTAAGATGGGCTGGAGCTGTTGTTGCTGATGTTTAAGTCCAATCCCATTTCATCCCAGGTGGTGGTTAGGATTCAGCTGGAGCCATGTTATCTGGGTCTCTCTCTCTGACCCGGTCTGGTCAGGTCATCTCTCAGGATTATGATGACGAAGGCCCGGGGTCCCAGGAGATGGTAGGAATGGCAGCCGTGATGGTGAAGCTTCCTTCCGGAGCCCCTGTCTGTTCTTTATTTTCCACCCAAAGTCTCTTTCTTTAAGGACCCAAAAAGGGAGTGATGAATGGACTAGCCCATCCCCTCATTATTTTGTCCACCAGTTAGGCCTAATAACTGACACGCAGATTTTGGTTCATAATTTCCAGACCTTCATTTTCTTGTTTACAAGGCATGATTTTAACATACTCCTTGAGTTATATCAGAAGGTGTTTTTGTTTGGACTAATTCAGTCTGTCTCCCTTTCGTGTCTTTCCCCATCAACATGTGTTATCCTAGGTTTCTGTGATATCTCATGAACTTTATATATGTTACATCTGAGCTCACAGTTAGGGTAAATTTGTAAGCCCAATTATCAACCAGACCGAGCCTTCCTCCCCTCAGCCTGTTACAGTCCTCTCCCCCTCTAGTCCCAATCTCACCAGATGCCCAACCACAGCCGGGAGCCATAGCAGGGAAAATCGGGGTTCACCCCTGCAGCCTGGACTAGAGGGACCATGCTCAATCCTGGCACACATAGGAGGTGTGAGGGAGTGGCATATGCCCAGTCACTTTGGGGATGGCACATGTGCTATCTGGTGAGCACTAGAAACTGTGAGAGGCTGGAGCATGCTTGTTGAAGACAGAATCTTTGGAAATTTTTCTGCTAAAGTCTAAGAAGTCTCCACTGAGCATGTGCAACCTGAGATTTTTTTCAAAGGCTTATACATTGGATAAATTTGGTCAGATTTTCACCAGAACAGGAAAAGGCACATCCCTGACACAAAGGCCACTACCCTGACTAATTTCAAATTCCTGCACCATATTATGGGGGTGCTAGAACTTCTTAAAGAATAGGTCACCTGAATTTTTTTAATATTCCAAAATAATGCGTTTTCCCCTAGCCTCATTCTCAGAAATGGCTGAACTGTTTTGGCTGAAACTTTCCAGAAATATTCAGCCCGAGGCAGACACCTGGCATGGGAAATTGCACAATGGTTAAAATTTGGCAAAGGTATAAGCAACTGAAAACAGGGTCTTATAATGGGAAGTGTCAGGCAACCTTAATAACAGGCGGTGTAACCATCCTGTGTATAATAATAATTAATACTAAATCAAATTAAATTTGTGACTTTGGGTAGATTTTACACCAGTTACTATGTTTTTCTCCCTGCCTTGTTTTAAATGATATGTCCTTCATCTGTGATATATTTGACATCTCCGCTTGTCTCACCAGTCCATTATTCTTTATTTTTCTTTGCCTTTAGCCTAAAGCCATCATTCAAAAGTGAAATGTTTGCTCATGTGACAAAGCAAACATCTGGCTTCATTATGGAAAGATGTCTTCATATTTACATCACAGGCGCTTCAGGTAGTGAGTGCTGGAATTATGCTAAAGCACTTCAGGGCAGTACAAGAAAGAGACAGCTTTCTTGACGGCAGGTCAGGCTATGGAAAAGTGGGCAGCTGGAATTCTGGAGTGAGTGCTACCCAACAAGGGATTTGGTCCAAAGTTAAATATAGTCAGGAGTTACTAGGCAAATGCAAATTGGAAATGGGCCCAGGACATGAGAACCAGAAGCCAGTGAACTTGCTATAATGAACTGGTGTTTGTGTAAGTGATGTTGTCCTTTAGTTGGTGGAACAGAGACAGACTAAAGGATTTACAACAACTACATGCGGCTAAAGAAGTTCTCCTTTCGCTCATGTAGGCGTTCTGACAGGCTGCTCATGTGAGCGAAAGGAGAACTTTAGCACTGAGCACCTCCTGTTGAAGCTGTTCCGCTTTGTATGAAATACCTAAATAGTCTCTGGAGTAGGAACTGGAACCTGGGTGTACTACCCCCAGGCTATAGAGTCATTTTTGTTCCTTCTCTGGCCCAATGGACATTTATTTCATACAAAGTGGAATAGCTGCAACAAGGAAAGACACCCCCCCCCCCCGCATCCCCGCAAATATACCCTATATTAGAACACTCACGTGGGATGTAGGAGACGTGGGTTCAGGTCCTTGATGCAAGTCAGGCAGAGTGAGAATTTGAATCTGGGTCTCCCCCATGGCAGGTGAGTGCTCAGGTATAAAAGAGGCACTACCACATTTTGTGCAGGGCTCAATTCAGCATTCATGTTCGAAGGCAGCCTGTGAGAACGCCTACGGCAAATGCCTAGATTGAGGACCCCACTAGGGCTTAGGTGTGGGCTAGGCACCAAGCAGTTTAGTGCAGTGGCTCTTAAACTTTTTTACTGGTCATCCCCTTTCACATAGCAAGCCTCTGAGTGCGACCCCCCCTCCCCTTATAAATTAAAACCACTTTTTTGTATATTTAACACCATTATAAATGCTGGAGGCAAGGTGGGGTTTGGGTAGAGGTTGACAGCTCGTGACCCCCCCATGTAATAACCTCGTGACCCCCTGAGGGGTCCCGACCCCCAGTTTGAGAACCGCTGGCTTAGTGGCTTTGTACATATGCAGTGTCAGAAATTTAAGTGCCTACAGGATTAGGTGGCAGCTGAGCAGAGGTTCTGAAATTCTAAGTTTTGGATGCAGATACCTAAAGTTGCAGTTAGACACCTAAATCTCTTTGTGTATCTAGTCGTAAGCGCTTTACAGACACGAGTGTGTGTGGTGTTGTTTTTTCACTGAGTGGCTGGGGAAGAGGCAGGTCCCAGTGTGAGGGTACCCTACAGGATGCAGGTTACAAAGTAGCAGCCGTGTTAGTCTGTATCTGCTAAAAGAACAGGAGTACCTGTGGCACCTTAGAGACTCACAAATGTATTTCAGCATAAGCTTTTGTGGGCTACAGCCCACTTCGTCAGATGCATAGAATGGAACACACAGACAGAAGATATTTATACATACAGAGAACATGAAAAGGTGGAAGTACCCATACCAACTGTAAGAGGCCAATCCATTGAGATGAGCTATCAGTAGCAGCAGAAGAAAAAACTTTGAAGTGATAATCGAGATGACCCATAGAAGGTGTGAGGAGAACTTAACGTGGGGGAAAAAAATGCAATTAGTGTAATGACCCAACCATTCCCAATCTCCGTTTAGGCCTAAATTAATTGTGTCTAATTTGCATATTAATTCGAGTTCAGCAGTCTCTCTTTGCAGACAGTGGTCAGCCCTAGGGAAGATGGTGGGTCTCACCGCGTGCGGGGAGGAGAAGGGGTTTGACAGCTTCCAGCCCACCAATGCCCCAGCTGCACATGAGATGTGTGGTCGGCTACAGAGACTACAGGCCCCAGACTGCAATGCGTTCCCTTGACTCTAGTAGCAGCCCTGTGTAGTTTGTTGAGACCACGATTCCCAGCATGCATTGGTCCTACCTATGAGCCGCCAGGGCTGATTTGTGCGCAAGGGATGCTGGGTTTTGGAGTCTCCTTGCCACCCGCTCTTCAGCACGCCTCCCAGTCGGTCTTCAGAGCGCATGCGCGGCGGAGGCGGGGCTGCGCAGTGAGTGACCACGCTCACGGAGCGAGCCCAAGTGTTCGCTGGTTGGTGGGTGCGTGGCTGCGGCTCCACCCCTCCGGCCGCTGGTTGGTGTGTGTGCGCCCGAGGCTCCCGCCCCTCCGCGCTGGTTGGCTGGCGCTGGCCAATGGGCTGTGTCGCGTGGCCGTGGCGGGAAGTGCGGCGGGGACCGGCCGGGTAGGTCAGCGCGGGGCAGAGCCGGGTCTTTCCCCCGCGCTGAGGGGAGCCGTGGAGGCGCGGAGCGGTGAGGACCCCGCGGACCTCCGCTCCGGGCTGGCGGGGCCCTGAGCAGCCTTCGCCTCAGTGTGCCGGAGGCCGGGGTGGGGGCCCGGGGTGGGCGCTGATGCGGCGGGGGCTGGGCCGGGCCGTTGGTGAGTGAGGGCAGGACGCGGAGCAGGGTGATGGCTGGGCCATGGGGAGGTGGAGGGGTTGGGGGGGGAGGCGTGTGGTGATGGCTGGGCCATGGGGAGGT